TGAAAATTCCATTATAAATATTGAGGGAGAAAAGTTGTCCCGCGCTAAACAGATTTTGCKATGTTATACRTTTGTAAGACGGAGACAACACATACGGGTGTGGCGTCCTCTTAAGACACAACAAGAAAATAAAGTGTGAAGTTCATATCTCAAGCTCTCACTCCATTCACTATATGTATATAGTGCAATTCAGTGTAAAACCCTAAGGAATTACATTGCACATAAGGGTCAGAAAACCCAGTGGTACATTTTGGTATAATAAAGATAAAAGATAATAAGAAATTAGATTTGAAAGTTAACGGCAAGAAAAATTAAAAATAAATCGCATCATTCGTATGAACAATACACCCTTCTGGAAACATAATATCACATATTTCCTATATAAGATCAAGACCGCGAAATAAAATTCAACTTGCACGAATGAATAGAATTTGCAAATGTCAAAATCTAATAATATTACCTACCTGTCTATCTATAATATATATGTATATATATACAAGTAGAATAATATTAATCATAAAAAATATCTTCCTCGGTTCTTCGACAATGCCATCCCTAAAAGCTTCTTCGTGTATTCTGAGATATTTAAATTTTACGTTACACATAGATTGTATAGACGAATTCGTTTATAGTCGTTTTTCAATCCCACTGGGACCTATTGCTAAAAACAGTGAATTATATTACAATATTATATTTGATAGAACAGGTAGCAAATGATACAACATTTTTTCATAAACTACAATTTTYATGATTCTTTTCGGACATAAATTATATAATATAATATTTACTTAATACTTATAAAAAACGTGTGTAAAATAAGACCATAAAACAATATAATATAGGTACTGTAACGTATTTTCCAACAATATTTACTTCGGTAAAGTCCCGCTGAACATAAATAGCACATGCATATTATACGATTTATACGGTGTTTGACATAACGATTACAGATAGATTTGTTCATGAACATAAAATGTAAATATTATCACGATTATTAAACTCGAAATCGACTCAACATATATATTCTAAAGTATTTGTAGCGAACCGTGCATACAATGGTCTGTCGCCATTTTACAAGTCATAAACAGATGGTTATTATGGGGACAATAAAGGACAGAAAGTTTCGATCAAACATTTAGGGTATTTTCTTTAAGCCATTATATAAATCCATATTATGAACTTTAATTAATTTGACAAATGTACACCAAAGCGTTATCGAACTAAATATAAAAATAAGGTGATACGTGGTTTTCATATACGTGTGTATTGCCAATACGGTTTTACGGTATCGGAATCGTAGAAATAGCTTTTAAGTGACTTGCTCATGTCCATATAATTTAAGGGGGYCATGAATACTACTATATTATCGAGCAAACAAAAAATATTATGTTTTTAAATATTATAGTTTTTAATGCGTTTTATGCTGATCGTTTAAAAATCTTTTACTTATTATATTGTGTGTGTATTTAGCGCGCGTCGTAAAAAAATAAAAATAATGCATTAATCAGCAATGCGTTTTGTGATTTTCTTCCTCCTCTGATAAATTATTAAAATTGAATACGTCTGAAATTAGTTATTATTATTGACTCGTCAAGAAATTTTACTTGAACTTTGTTACCTTATTTAAATATTGTTTCAACCTGTTCGATAAAACAATTATTTAGCTACACATAACCGTGTACAACGATAGTTAAGTTGCGATAAAGCGGAAATCGGGTAAAATTTTCAAGACACATTTTACGCAAATAAAATCTTATACGTTTCTAAGTACGAACCAAACACATATCTAACTTTAAACATTATGGTACTGATACAATCGTCTCAGGATATTTTAGGTAAATACAAAACAATTAACACATCACGTCTATCACTGTTACCATAACGCTGTTGTATAATATAATTCGCGTTATCGTGTCCAAATTATAAGAAAAAAATTGTCCGCGTACCTTTTTAGTCTCGGTTATAATATGGTATTCGCACGTATTTGCAGTAACGTAATAATACTGTTCCAACACGTACCAGCCCGCGGATCAAAAACTCCACAGTATAGGTCCYGGGTCGTTATACACTATACAGGTATTTTATACCTATACCTACTTGTGTGTTCGTCCTAYAGACTTGAAATTAAATATTGTTTGTTATTTATGACTTTATTAGCCATTTACAAGATGATGATGATTCACCGACCATCATCACACCCATATGTTTTCTTTTTTACTATGAATTTATTAAAATTATGATTTTTTGAACTTTTATGTAAAAACCTTGGGCATCTARACTCGAGAGTGTAAGTCATAAGTACCTATAATAAGTATAATAAGTACCTTCAAGATAAAGTATTTTATTTTACATTTTTGTAAAGGCTTTTTATTTACATATTATATAAAGTTAGTCATCATGAAAAAAGTTTGAGAACCACTGACTTATTTATTATTAATTATGATAAACAATTATATCATCAAGAATTAAGTAGTGGCTATATTATTTCCTACTTAATTTCCCCTCCAGAGGATCATCCTTTGGTTTCGGAACTTCATAATATAATACATTATATTCGTTGTAATTCCTTATTGTATCTATTATATATTTTAATTACATAATATACGCTGTTACTAAATGAGTATAACCTATTATAAATGTGTATACCCTTCGGAGTGTTTAAAATAAATAAGTAAATAATTTGTGGCTACAAACTGTTGCTAATTTCTGGACTTCCATTCGCAGGTATGGCGACTACCGGCTAGCGATGGTGCCCACGTCGGTATTGGTGTTCTGCGGCTTGCTGTCGGCCGTCTCCGTGTACCCGGCATGGTCTGCTAGCGGCCCGGTCATTCAGCAATGTCCCACCCACGGCGAGATTGCACCGTGCGTGTGCACGGTGAAGAAGAATGGCGGTCTGGACATACTGTGCGAGTTCACCGACCTGCAGCACATATCCAAGACGATGGCCGTGCTCAAGGGCAAACCGTCGCTGGTCATATTCTACCTGAAGCTCCGACACAACAACCTACCCAAGTTGCAGGGTTTTGTGTTCCTGGGCATGGACATTCGGCACTTAACCATACACAACAGTACGCTGGCCGTGGTCGAAGAGTCATCGCTGAGTTCTATAGGTGAGCATGATGATAATGATGATTTTGTGCATTACTGATTGGTTATCGAAAACGGTGCTGGTCGGATGGGGGGAACGGTATTAAATAGGACTATAGGGTAACCGCACAGGTGTGTTAGAAAAATAAAATCATTTCACCAGAACACATAAATTATAATTATAATTTTAATAAAAATAATTTTATTGAATACATTGATTACTTAACTGTGATTAAAAATAAATATGTTGCGTCATAAGTCATAATAGCCTAAATAAAACAAACCGTATTCATTATATTAAAACAATTTTTTTTTAATTTTTAAAACATTTTACGAATAAGTAAATATTTTGTTGAATAACCCATATTTTCACGTTTACTTAATCACATACCTTGACAATAACCCTTATTCCGTGGGATAGTAATAGAAAACGTCTTAATTCGAAACAAATAAGATCAAATTTGTAAACGATAGTTGCCATTATATTTATTATACATTTAAATTCTCCGACGTCTCCTTTAATATTCAAAATATTATATTCTAATTCTACCTTCCCCCACGTGAGTTATCACTATAAATTATATATATTATTATAGATCATAATTTTTAAATAATATTATAACCGTACCAATTTTTACTGCGTCATTTAATGTGTAAAATAATCACGTATTACCTAACCATCTGTGGARCAAACGAATCCGATCATGGTCTCGTCGGTCGTTTGATTGTCGTACATGTGGATCCTTCGCCAGTCTATACCTACCTGCTATAATGTGTTGAGTTTTTTTTAAATAGATTTTAAAATTCCAAAATGTTTTATAAAAAATGTATACATCTCAACAGAAGTCAAAGACTTAAATAACATACATGTATTATAGTAGTGTACGTCATAATAATAAAGCAATGCATGAATTTCTGGTTTTCTGAGCACTGTATATCATATTTTATTGAAGGGTACTCTAAATTGTACGCAAGACGACTTACATCGTTCACGTGCGTTCTTTATTATTTTATTTTATTTTATTTTTTTGTGTTTGTTAGTTATAATTTATAACCAAGTTTATATTATAACTTATGACCTCCCCCTCTTTGCCATCACTTGAAAAGCTTACACCGCGGGACTGCACTCTGTTCGGTGTGGAGATGTTATAATCAATACGCGATGTCAAGCACGAGTCATCGTCAACAGTTCAACACTCAACCGTATAACACACATAATATAATATAACAATAATAACATATTATAATTTAGTACGGAATTATCGTTGTGAAACGAATATTATTATTATTATTATGATTGACATGCAAATGTCGATGTAATATATTATATAAYAGATGAACCGGCTGCAGTGTAGGTACCTAATATTATATTTTATCGAATTTCGTATACGATATTATATTATTATTGTTATTATTTAATGCAATTTAACCCGTGCGTATGTCGTGTACGGTAGATTTTACGTTTTGTTGAACTGATTTGAAAATAGTTTTTRAAAGTTAGATATCTATCACCTACAAAACACTRTGCAGAGAATGTTAAAAAAAATTATGGKTATGATTAATACATTATCACTTCCATTTTCCAATGCAGTTTCACATATTCAACCCATCGAAAACTTTCAACGATTCTTTTTATTTTAGGCACCGTCCATAAAAGTTCTCACTTTCTCAGCAATAACAACACTTTTAAAGTAACAAACTAGTATGTTTGACAATTTTCCAAAACATTATCATTGCGTACGTATTCGCGTACCTTTGAAATACTAAAACTAAAACACACAAATTGTTACAAATTTCACCTTTTTGCTGCCGATCAGCGTTTTTCGACATCGTTATTGATTTTTTTTTCAAATGAATATTTTCTCTGTTGAACCCTTTTTGTTTGCTTATATATAACAAGTGGATTTTTAATAAAATAATAACAATATTTAGAGTTCGTATTTTTAACGTATGTACTATTATTTTATATATGTATGCATACGTTTCGAAAATAACTTTTCTATAATTTAAATTCATCTGTGGAGAATATCCCCCATGGAACCATAGATTTGTATTACTAGATTGTCATTTGTCAGTTCCTTAAAATTTTTATTTTATAAATAAAACAAAAATACTCGTTGATCATACCTCGCATGGTTGTTGGACTCGGACTTWACAAAATCATTACGCAACACACTATTGTTAGTTGTTACCTTAAAGCAAATATAAGTAAATAATGAACTATAACTGACGTTAAAAATAAAACTCAAAATTTGTTATTTTAATCAACAAGTTAAATTTTCGCTTTAAATATAAGTATAATATTATAATTTACTGTGTATTTAAATAAAAACAGACTTCATATAGTTAGTCACTGTAACATAAAATCATAATTTTTTTGTTATTTAAATAAATTCAAATTAACGTTATGATTTATATTAAGTTTTTAAGTAATATTATTAAATATCAGTTTATTATCTATGTATATAGATTAAAATATAAATGTTTAATAGTTTTTCGAACAATCTTGTTCGTAAACTATGTTTAAGACTTTAAATCTCGTATCACGATAATTCCTTTAACTCTTTTTTCTCCGAATCTCAAAAATCTTACTTGATGTATATTTACGTTATACGTTTTATTTTTTTCTATACAGGAAAAGCACTCACCCAATTAGATCTGTCTCAGAATTCATTAAGCAGCGTACCGACTCCGGCGTTGAAAAGCTTAGATCGATTACTGATATTTAATTTAAACCATAACAAAATCAACGCCATCCACGCAAACGCTTTCGAGGGAATGAGCACGCTAGAGATTTTGACCTTGTACGAAAATCGGCTTACTAATATCGAAGCCAATGCATTCGCCGGCACAGAGAAGTAATTTTGTAGATTTTTTTTATATGTTATTTCATTACTTATATTAAAATTTTAATCGGTCCACAGAAAACTTAAACGATTGAACATCGGTGGTAACGAACTGAACCGGGTACCGACCGGTGCTCTACAGACGATGGACAACTTAAAGAAATTAGAAATTCAAGAAAATAAGATTACGTCGATCAGCGAAGGCGATTTCATAGGTAATTATTATTAATATTAAAAATYCAGTATTTTCACTCGGAAATGGTTAATAATAGGTAGTCGAAGACTTAAGMTAATATAAAATTACTTTTGTTCATTATTTTATATATGAAATCATATTAATATCCGGCAATTCTTCAKAAATTATTTTAATTAATTATACATTTTTGAACGAAACACGGCTTTTATATTGAGTTATCAAGTAGATGGAAATGTTAAATAGATTTAATATTAATAGCTGCTAAAATTATAATTTATTACGTTATGCCTATCACACATAACACATCACATTAAACCATGTTTGTTAACTTAAATCATTCGCCATATGACATCCGTTGCATTTAAATGTTTCATTTTTTTTTTTTTTTAATTAAAAATAGTTTCAATGTTATTTGAAAATTGATAAAAAACTTAAGTTCACATATAAGTTTTGTAAAGTACTGGTTTATTCAGAAAAAATGTGATTTAACTAATATTTTTTTTTTTGTTTCTACCTAACTGAATTTTATAAAAACAGCTCCAAAATATCAATTCATAACTTAAAACAGATTGCACTAAGAATACGTAGATAATCTTTTTCGCATAAATTAAGATAATTAAAATAATGTTTCACTTCACTGAAGATCATAATAATTAAAATGTAATATAATATTTAAGTGTAATATAAAAATCTGTTTTTCCATGAATTATAAATAATAATAATGATCTGCATGATATTCATTATTAATAATCAGGACTGGTATTAATGATTATAATAAATACTCGTAAATGTTACAATCGCAATAAATGGCAGTGGCTGTTTTTTCCACTCTTTATGTTCACCGAGCATACTTTCAGCCAATTCATAATAATTACTGATGTTCTTATATCCAATRTATTTTTCTTTTACAAAAAAATTTACATTTAGGCATAATTTAATACTATATATTTTATTATTTAAGGTTTACAAACATTGGATATGCTTATCCTAGCACACAATTATCTCAAACATATACCTGCTAAAGTGTTTCGACATTTACCACTACTAAATTCGTTAGAGTTGGACGGAAATCAAATATCAAGTATTGACGAAGAGGCTTTTTTTGGTTTGGAAGGTAAGAACATAATTTGAAAAAATAATAATATACAAAACATTTTATGACATAGAAATACGAAAATTACAGTCCACTTTTCGTACAAAATAGAAATATTTGGTAACCATATCCATTTTAAAAGATATACTATTTTTATATAATATAATAAATTTTCGGGAACTCTGCATTCCTTAAGTAATAAGGTAGGTAATTAAATTTTCATCATGCGATTCTCGACCATAAAGCATGTATTATAAACCATTCAAGTTCAAAAAATGTTTAAGTACTTGTTGTTCTGTAAAGCATATCAAAAGAAAAATATGTTTACCGTACTCACAAAAAGCTCAGACATATAATATATATATAGTA